ACAACCACGCCGGACAATGAGGATAGGCATCAGCTTCCATAGGGCGGATTATATCGATCACTGCAAGATTTATGGCGTCACAATTTGTCATGTGGTCCATAGAAAGCGCGAGAGTCAAACGATTGTAAAGATCAACGCCGCCTTAGCTACTCTTAACTGGGACAAGAAATGGCAAATAGGCTCCTTTCACTCTTTTTCCCCGTCATTTTCTGGTTAGGCCTATATACCTTTGGACGAAGAACCGGTTCTTTTCAATCGACCAGTGGGGAACCTGAGGTCCAATCATCTTGTTCCGGTCGTCGACCGTCGATCTCCTGAATATCTTCTAAATCCCAAGTTCAGCTCGACGATGCGCATGTACTCAGTTCACCTACCTGGAAAAACTCAGTATGTTACGAGTAAAACACAATCGAACAGGAAATATTGCTCCTTCTGGGAGATTTGATCGCCTGCCATGAACAGTAATTTGCTGTAAGAAAAATCTGAGATTTTGTAAACCGTTCAAAACAGCAGCAAAAAAGATGTATCTGGATGGCACCGTCTTGAAAAAGGGCCTCTGATCGGACCCGTGCGAATGGCTCCTCATTTACTGAAGGTGGGCCAAGAAAACGTCCGGAAATTTGCAACAAATTCGGCCAAAGCCAATTCAGAATGTACAAAAATCTAAAATAAGAATCTGAGAACGACCGTAAATTGTTAACTTCAGCTGACTGTGAGCAGATGCTGTGCGAATTCGCAGGATTCCACTGCGAAATGCGTTGGGCAAACTTCACGAGAAGGTTTGAAAGCTTTAGGAAACAACTGAGCGCATTGTTGATTGAAGTTTATCAGAATACATGCCATCAAACGGGTGACAGACTGCCAGTTTACAAAACAAACAGTTACACACCCTAGCAAAACCCAAAAACTGTAAATCCGAAACAGACAACTGCAGTATCCCCAGCATCGAAGCTCCGCCCACCCACCAGACAGAGAAGTTCGAAAAACTCCCTACATGCTACCTAGACACAGCAGTGTTCCAGCCAGTGCTCCTGTGTATTAAGTTTTACACTTCATCAATTTGTCTATAAGAATTAACTAACACTAACTTTTCATGAGTTTAACGTTGACAGTTAAAGTGCTCGTTGTGAATTAAACAAACCGTTTTGCCTGCTCTTGTTTGTTGCCTTACCACAAGCAATGGTTTATTCGTTTCAGTTCGGTGAAAGCCGCTTTCCTACTGGCTCTAAGGATTGAATACTGGTCCCAAGGAGAACCGATGCGATCCGATCTCGTCCTTCGTGCAGAACGTTTACCACCTGGCCTCCTAGAGAATCCTACGGATTCGAGAGTTCTAACTGGAAGCAGCTTCGTTGTCTACCTTCATAGATGGAATAAGTTCGCATTGCTTGTACATGTCTGGTGTAGACCTACGTGGCATCCACGATCCGAACAATATGGTAGATGACAGCCCCAACGACAGATCGTTATTCTTCTTGCAAGCCTGTACTGGTTTTCCGCACACTTGCGCGAGAACCCAAGGACATGTTTCGACAACCAAAGTGTGGCTAGCGCTGTCTTATCGCACCGTTAATTAGATGGATTTTGAAGGCAGCATCGCAAATTCGGGGCTCCCTTGGCATAGTTAGATGTACGGTGCAGAGGACACTTAGGAACGCTACAGTGTCAACCGGTAAAATATAAAAATAAAAACACTAATGAAATAATAAAAAATAAGAATAAATAAAAAACATGTATAACACATGACATATAATAATGGAACATAAAAATATATGGTATTAAAATAAAATGTAAAAATTTAAAATCCATGCAATCGGTTCATATAAAAATCCATTTCCTAAGGACTGACGAAGTGTGGTGGTGAACAAAGTCTGTTTTCTGTGATTAGTTATCAGGTTATTAGATCAACCATTATACGGTAACTAGACAAGGGGGCATCAATGGAGGTTAAAAGTCTCCAGCAATCAGTGTCAGCTTGGGAAAAGAGCAACAGTTTGTAGCTTACGCAATTGGTTGATAGTGCTTTCTACGACCTAGTCTGCCTGTCACTTCCAACCGTCCAGATTATGGCAAAAGATCGTTAAAAGAACGAAACTTGGAAGCAATAATGTCATAAAAAAATCGATTCTCCCGAGGATGCCATATTATGACCAGGCATAGAGTATGAACTTGGTTACATCTTGCATCCTTTACCCGGTTGTTTCTAACATCAGTTGAATCCTATCTTTGAAGGCATAACAAGAGTGAATTCAGGTTCGTTGTCTGGGCTCCCTTAAAGCTTTGGGTTACATCTCGTTAGTGCCTGCTTCACCAAACCGACGTGTCGACTACACTCCTAAGCGATTTGACTACGCTAGACTCGGATGTTTATTTGAACTTCGCCGTTTCCTTGAGCACCTGCACTTTTTAGCCACCAGCCCAAAGACAAACTGGGGACCGAATACGATCATCTTAGGTTAACTGTGGATTTGACCCGTAACAGGGGACACCTCCCCGGGATTACACAACCGCTGCTCACATCTGTGCAGAGAACTATCAATGTCTTCTGCTCGTCACGCGAAACTGTGGTGTGAAGCCAGGACCAGAACTAGATGAATTCTGAGGCAGACGTCTCAATAACTCACACTACAAGAGCGTGAGGAAGTCGATATAATTTTCCATGTTATCACGGTGATGAATTTCTCAGACGAGTTAAAACCAATACAAAGCCACACGTTGAAAACTATTCAGCCTTCCGGGGAGGCCGGAGCTGTCTTGGCAAGTAAACTTTTGTCCCCCAACTTTAACATACTTGCATACTAGGCTTTCACGTTAAAGCATCATGTGCAAAGAACCTTCAGAGACGAGGAACCTATATCACTCAAAATACATTTGTAATGGCTGGGTCCTCGTGATGCCGAAACGCGCAAAACGGTGGGGATTTGGTGAACCAATGAGGACGAAATTTGGTGGACTGTAAATTTATCCGTATTCAACCGCAAGGTCGTGCCACGAAGATGCATTGTTAGGCTTCAACTAATCCCAGGTTTCCCGACGGTGGCATTCAAATTAACCTCAAATTATTTATACTCAACGGTATACTCGGGAAAGAACTCATTCGGAGGTCTTTCCCCCACAAACGGCCACAGGCTAGCCATGTACTTCGTTTTCAGATGCACGTACAAGTCATCAGTTGTTGAGATCAATATTCACACCAGACCGATATCTAAGACCGTAAACTCAGTAAATGAATGCGTAATCATCAATATTCCGCTTTCAAGGTAGCTAGGTTGAATTCAAATGGTGCCTAGTTCGGTCGTATGGAAAACGAAGTAAGAAATGCCCAACTTAAAACCAACACCGCCGGTAAAACCGTGAGTTTAAATATCGATTCTACTCTGTCGGATCAAACTTTTAGATGTTTATGTTTTGTACTTCGAAAGATCTCCGGAGCTTGTGATCAGAAGTATCTCGACATTCCGTTTGGCCTTAACCGTCATTGTCCAGTGTGCCGACTTGAAAATGAGACTTTCCATGAGAGGTTGATGTAAACTGTCGAACCGCCCTGACAATTACAAATGCTGAAATTATCGCGCTGCACTGGAAAACATGAGTAATAGTGAGGCCATTGGGATAAAACGCGCGTGAAATACAACCGAACGACTATTTGCACCATATTGTGATGACAAAACACAAGTCCTCACAGCTCTTAGCTTGACAAGCTACAGGGAACTAACTTTATTTTCTGGTATGAAGTTTAGGAGATAAGCAAATTCGCATGGAACCAATGTTTTAGGCTTTCAAAGTGAGTTGCAGAGCCTACCTTTCTAGTATTTACCCGTGATTTCAGAAGTAAGATACTGATAACAAGAATGGCGAAAATCGACCTTGGTAGTAGTCATCATCGTCGGCAGCATGACAGTGTTCCACACCGATGCTTCGTTGCCGTACAACCATGCTATAGTTGAAAGCCTTGTAGTGAAGGAAAGAGTAAAGGTGGACGGGGAAAGTACTTAGTGCTATCTTACTACAATCATTCCGAGGTGCCTACACTTCCAGACATTGGGCAATCTGATCTGGATAGAAACTGACAATAAGATCGCCACTGACATCGGTTGGCAGCCGTATCTTACAGCATCTCCAACTAGGCGAAGCGAGGAAACCCATCCTGGAAGGCCAGTATCACCGACAGCACCCAAAACGTCTCGTGATTTCTTTCATCGAACCTCAGCCGAAAACTCCGTTTAGAATACTTGCCAAAACAATGTGCTGCAAGGAAGTCACCTCAGGTTTCGAAGAGTTTTCAGAAATCATATGACTAGTGTGTTCTGTCAGGGAAATAAACCGCAATGTCTCGAATATCGCATCAACCGCCAAAATCTGTTACCAACAAGGAGCTTCACCATGATTCGGTTGGACAGCCTCAGCTGGATTCTGAAGATAAGGATTGAGTAGGATTTTTCATGAAATCTCGTCAACAGTGCATTCATACATAGCTTACAAGGCTGGCATAGGAAGCGACATTCTTTTGGTTTAAACCCGGGAATAACTGGCGCTCCTGTGAGTCTTCGAGTTGCTTTCCGAGAGGGGTACACTGCTTGGTTCAGGTGAAGCCCACGCCGTTCTGACGCTAGTGGTCGCAGACCCGATTCTATGTGATCGCTTCTGTTGTTCTCAGTGCACTTTGGCGGATGATCTTTAGACGGTTAGGCAGAAACCGGTAGACCACGCTGAACATTCCATTGTCCTTGGCAATAACAATAACCGTTTAGCTGTAACTATTCCGTGCCATGCCACCCGAGGGCTGAGATATCCCCAGGTTGCCCAAGCCTAGCGACAGGAGCTGTCAAGATGCAGAGGTTGGGTTCGAACCAGGGATCTTCTGGTCAGTAAGTTCGTGCTTCAACCAGTGAGTTGTCTCGGCTCAGACTGGAATAACTGTCGTTGAAGCTTCGTGACTGTTATCTGGGAGACCAGAAACGACCCCTCCAAGCTTCCAAACATTAAATCGAGAACGGACTATTCGCTCCAGAGAATGTAAGTATAATTTTTAGAAATATAGACGACAACGACAAAAGATGACAGTCTCGGGTATTGGCGACTTGCGGGAGGGGTTTTAAACGTAGAAAGGGGGAAAAAGGGAATCGAGTTTGGAAATTAGTAAGTCAACAGCCCATGGTACCTTTCTTGCCAACACACCGAAAAAAGAACAATGGTTCTAATAGTAAGCTTGAAAAAGAGATGAAAATGGCAGAGGGCACAAACAAACAACACGAGAGAAAAAACAAACAAACAAACAGAAAAGAAATGTAAAATGGGGGAACGACAAGTGCATCAGCAGCATATTATGATTAATATTAGTAGTTAACTCAACCAAACAAATGGAGCCTAATATGGGGGAATTCCATGCGCGAAAGTCAAAATAGACCTAAAAATGTGGTGTGCTCGGGGAAAAAACAACAGCAGCTGCGGCGGCGGTGAAAACACATGTATACTCTCACATACATACACGCAAAGCAACACGGGGATTGGACAACTTTCAGATGGATGATCGATTGACTGTCCAGTGAGCGCAAAGGGGCAGGGGGGATCGCTAGGGCCCGTCTCACTGAAAGCGAAAACTAAGACACTAAGAGTAGGAGAAAGAGAGAGAGAAAACAATTCAAAGACGACGGCGGCGGAAACAACACCGGTTTAACGAGACCATTTTTATGTCTAGCAAAATGCAAAAAGACGCGGTTCACCAGTGGAATCCGAATTAGCTGGTGACGGGTTGGCGACCTACGCATTTCAGGTTGGCGAATAAGGATTCCGGAAAGCGATCAAAGATTCGAATGTGAAAATCAGAGGAACGGGCTACATCACAATTGCATCAAGAAAACGTTTCTTTAAAAAAACATGATAGGACAACAGGGAGAGTGGAAACATGATGGGCTGAGAGTGGAATAGAGCCTAGTAAGCTGGAAATGACTACCCAGAAGCTACGATATGCCGGCGTGCCAGAAGAGGTTGGTAAGGGAAGGTGCACGAAGAGTCTTCCTGGGTGGGGACGGATCACTGAAACAACGAAAGAGGAGTAATATTACTAGTACAACTGAGCGCTGTCGACCCATAACCAGAATGACAAAGATGAACTGGTTATTCTTCCAGACGCGTGCGAATCCATATGGATGTGTACGCCTGTCGGGATTTCGGGGCATATTATTCGAAAACAACAACAGATACCACCAAGCTCCATTATGAGTAGCAGGTGAGTAAGTTTGGAAAATCCACTTCTCTTAAGCACTAGGGTGTGCGACAGCGGTTGGGGGATAGGACAACGCGATTCCACCGGTATTTTTTGACCCCACAACCAGTTCGATATTGGACGAGTCAAGCAGTTTGTTATCCAACGATCCGATTAGACAAGAGGCGTCATATAACAGGGGAGTCTTGCATTGCGGCGGTTGAGGGTCATTGCCACGCTTGCCGTTAGTCACAGAGGTACTCAAAGAGATCAAATGACGCTGTTCCGGTGGTTCCAAAGGTGAACGATCGTCACACTTGGAAGATGCGGTGATGGAACTCAACAGACTGACCGTTTGTTGAGAAGAATCTGTTTTGGCAGCAATACTCGAAGTAGGTACGTAGGAGATCTGTACTGGGACGGGGACCAAACTTGAAGGGGGAGCACCGGTCGCACGGGCAGTGGCTGCAGCAAGAGCGGCAGCTCCAGCCGAGGAAGAGGCGGAAACGAGAAACAGGGGAAAACTGGATTTCATCGAACCAAGACGGACGACCGAGTCAAGTTTAGATATCCGCTGATCGGCCAAACTGATGACATCATCTGCAGCGGTTAGTTTAGACGAGTCCAGTGTGGGGGTCACATCGGCCGGTGACAGCATCATTATAATTTGTGCATTATGAGGTGTGTCGGTCGACGATAAACCCTGGCGCTCGGATTCGGGGTTCGAAGAAAGCACGAGGGTTGGTTCAAACTTAGTGTTATGGTTAGTCAACGGAGCACACAAAAGTGGCGAGTTCACAGGATCCTCACTGGATTTTACACAGGAACTGGTTGCATCAGAGGGTGTTGTATTCTCAGCCATTTCCAGCTGGAACGGGACAGGGAGAGAAGAGCAATGCTATTCAAAAGGAAGTGAACAAACAACAGGATAAACTGTGATGAATACAAAATTAAGCTGGAAAAATGCACAATAGGTGGCGCCACCGCCAGAATAAAAACGAGGTCTGCACTCAGCAAGGGCATCCCCTAACTTTCCGATAAGTAAGGTATGATGCCGAAATTGAGGGGACGGCGATTTTTCCCACGCACAATTTGGTAAACTCGTGTTAAATAGAAAATACGAACGAATTTCCAAAGAAAGCACCACGCGACCCGAAACCAACACAGCCCGTCTGTTCAGAGTGAAATAACAGTTCTGGAACTGGTGAAACTAACCAAAAGTTATCTAAAGCGACGAATCTGGCACGTGACAACAGTTCCAACGGTAGCTACTGCCAATGTGAAGAGCGATTAAACTGACTAAACCGATTAAACTGATTATTATCATCCTCAGTGGCAATTACAATGAACACTAAAATGGTGGACACTGGAATGCTGTCAAAAACCCATTGTTCTAATCATTCTCAGTGTTGGGAACTTGTGGAACCACAGCGTGTAGACCACATTCCGCTTGTCTTGGGAAAAGGAAGTGAAAGTGTGTATCTTTCCACTCACTGACTGAATCCATCCAAGCTAGACAGGTAGCCCAGTGGGTAAGACGCGAACTTACTGATCAGAAAGTCCGTGGTTTGAACCCAAACTCTGCATCTCGGCTGCTACTGTCTAGACTTGGGCAGTTTGGCAGTATCCCAGCCTTCGTGCTTCCTTCAGGTGGCATGGCACCTAGGCACTGAAAGAGTGCTACAACTGAACGAAGCCACTGTTTCGTACTGTAAACCGTGCTGCTCAATTATCCACCAAAAACCGCTTGTCCAATTATAACACCATATTAATGAACGTCTGCCATGCAACCAGAAAGCAGCGTGACGGTTAGGATATTATCCGCTCACCTACTGAAGGCGAACTGAAAGAAAGGATGGTAGATATGGGCAACGGACGCTTCGGTTATGGGGAAGTGCCCTAATTCCGAGCTATATTAAAAAAGCTGCCAAAGTTAGTCAATTGGATTATTGCGTGCCAAAAACAGGTTAGGGGCCTTTGAAGATAGCAACATCAAAAGTGTGCGTCTGAAGACCTCAGATAACCTCGGCCAGATACTTTTTACGCAGTTGGACGGAAAAACACAGCACATTTTGGGGAGTTACACATCTAATTGTAAAAGTACATCAGTAACGTTCTCATTCTTGAAATGTATGTATTCCAAAACAAAGATGTACTACAACTAATTCGTGTGTGTGAATTTTTGAGAGAAGACTCAAGCCGATTCAGGTCAAGTTAAGGTGACCCAAGGGTGTTCAAATCTGAGTTGCACAACTCTCAGGACACCACCCTCAGTTGACACCGGCCTACTACCTTTAGAAACCTGTTGGGGCACTGTAGGATTGCTGCACGGTTATTTCAAAAATGTTTACCGACGCATTATGAAAGATGCCGGGAGTTTTTATCTCGAAAAAAGGCGTCGGTGTTATTGAATAACTCACAAGACGAATGAAAATTTCATCTGAGAAGTCATCAAGAATGCAATACCGGCCTACTACCTTTAGAAACCTGTTGGGGCACTGTAGGATTGCTGCACGGTTATTTCAAAAATGTTTACCGACGCATTATGAAAGATGCCGGGAGTTTTTATCTCGAAAAAAGGCGTCGGTGTTATTGAATAACTCACAAGACGAATGAAAATTTCATCTGAGAAGTCATCATTCGAGAATGCAATCAACACGTGACCACGTGATTAAGGGACACATACTGCTGACCAGTGGGTCGTGGCCGAACGGTTTTGGTCTCCAACGACTGGCCAGGAGGCCGCTGGTCCGAAACTCCCAATAAGGATGGTACGGCTATACAGTGCACCTCGATTTTCCAGCATAGGTTGACTTCGCTCACTGGACGAAGTCTCGCCTGCAATTTTCGAATCCGCTCATACCCGCCTGACAGGCGGGTCAACACCCAAACCAATATTCTCACAATTCTGGATGGTATTAATTACCGTGGGGAATACAGGTAAATACCAATGATACTCCAGTAGTGTAAAAGCAACATGCTCAAAGTCGATTATCGTCTTGAGGCGTGGATTTCCGACATTTTATAGCCTTTTAATGAAAAGTCGCGGGTCGTAACGACGCTCGTGTATTTTAGGAATTCGTGTTGTTGAACTTCAGTTTAAAAAAATGTCCACAGACATGTCAGTAACAAAGTGTGGTAGCCAGGTCGACTGGCGAAGCGTGGATCAACCCTCGTGTTATTCTTCCAATGTCTCCTGATCACCGTCACTGTATCACCTGAGGTACAACAAAGACCAGGCAGTCAGCCAGTTGACTACGTCCGTTGCCGGCTAACGGACACTCGCTCATGCACGTATGCATGCATACGGACATATCGCACATAAAATGTGGAACAAAAATAGAACGCAAGCAAGGTAACCGATCGATCACTTGCTTGTTCGTCTATAGATCGATAGAATCAAGGACACGCGCTTCGATACGACACGTGCATGACAGACAATTAGGACAGAGAAGAACTGATTTTACTGGAGTACCTGCTGCAAGTGCGTTACTACATATGAACTGAACTGGCCTTGTTTGAGTTGGTGTAGACTAAGACATCTAGAAAAATAAGTCATCGTGACTGTTGATGATGACAAAATGTCAGTAAAACAGCCATCCCTTCCGTAAGGGAGGAGGCGTCAAGGCGTTGACTGAAAGCATTTTCTTCTGAGGGAGGATTACTATTGAACTGCACATCAAGTGACCAACTAGGCCAATTCAATCTCGACTGTAGGAGGACCAAGGACAACCCTCTCACTATCGTCTCTGGTCATAAGAAACAAGACAAAGGTATGAGGCTGATCGGTATCTGATCCAACGTACACGTGAAATTCTTGTAGCGTTGTATACGTCCTACTGGAGTAATACGAGTGAACTAATGAGATCTTACAAGCAAGCCTTCTCTATTTTCTCAGAAAGAGAAAGTTGTCAACATCTCCCGTACGGCTTGTTTTTTCGCGGAGCAATCGATGGAAAATGCTAAAGCAGTACGAATGGAGCCCAGGTAGTTGAAGCTGAAATACTAAAGTGGTCTCCTGATATCTCAGTTTGTCAGTCGTGATCACCAACGAGAATGGTAACCTTCGCTATGAAAAACTCAACAGTGGGTCCATTCAGCTGTTCAGCTATAAACCGTACATTGAAGGGTGGTTTCGATTAGCTAAGACGGACTGATGAGGGAACAGTCAAACATCGGAGACAGTGGTCGAAAGCATCTATTGTTCTGGGGTTGCTCAGACATTCTCGCAGAATGAGAATTCGGACAACTACCCACTAAGGAAGATAGTGTCAACGTAGAAGCGCCTCTGATGCACTTCGTCCTGAAGAAGTAAACCGGTCATAACGACCGAGCTCAATTATAAGTCAGGACTTTCACACCTAGTTACCGATTCCAAGACTTTCGAGAAGAAGTAAGTTAGACGATTCTTTGGCATGCGAAGCGTATGGCGCAACCTACTGAACAATACTATTAAGCGTTCAGCTTAATATATCTAGCTGCGACGCTACCCGAAGGGAGCACGAGGGCTGAGACACTGCCGGGTTGCCCAAGCCTAGACAGGAGCAGTCGAGATACAGAGGTGGAGTTCAAACCACGAACGTTCCGATCAGTCGCCTAAACCACTGAGCTATTTCGAGCTCAATGGATACCGCCACTTCAATGGCGGTACAAAAGAAAACGCGGTACACATTCCGTTGTTGTGACGTGGATGGCGAATCGTGCTGCGGAATTAGTTTGGTTATTTTGAAACGGCTTGTATTCCTGGGGGAAGACAGTACCGGCAGTATGCTTGATGGTCGTGGACATCTTGACTCCTGAAATGCCATAAGCAGATAGGGAAGATTCGATTGAAACAATGGTGTTGAACAAAGAGGATGATAGAAACAACCTTGGCTGCCGCCATCGGCAGACTTCTCTGTAGATCGATACGCATTCATGGGTGCTAAACTACGGTGGATTTGAAGCAGCCAAGATTGTCAGACACCGCTACAGTATCGAACGATTGATGGAGTTAAGACGTTCTTGAGTTTAGGAAAAAGAACACGTGTTACAAACTGAAGAACCGACCACCGCATTATTCTCAGGAGAGGAACTCACATTCGATGCAAGACGATGAAAAGGCGCTTTTTGAATGGCCAACAGATTGACTTCTACAGGGTTTAAAACTTAAGAAAGCTGAAGCACAGCGCAAGACCTTCATTCGATTGCTAATATGTACATGCTCAGAATGATCCGAAAATGGGTTGGTGCGGCTGCTAACTACTGCTTCGCCACCGTGTTTTGAAAATACACGGCGTACGTCGTCGCCACGCATAAGACAAAAAATACCATGTTTCTCTAACTGAGGAGAAAGTGCAGTATGTGTACACTTTTACATACTCGGTGTTTGTGTTACCCCTAACGGGAGTGTCTGAATAAGTGCACGAACCCCAGGAACCTGACCTAGGAACGTTGACCAATTCGCGTCACTTGTGGCGTCAAAAAGGTATATTAATGGATTGTAAGGGACACGTGTATCATGCCACAGTACGGAGTGATAACTACCAGAACGTCCGCTTTACCGACGATCCGGCCGAGATAGCCACCGTACTTCAGTTCAGTCGGATGTTCACTTTCATGTACGCATGCACTCGACTTAGTCGAAGAGGTCTTTGTCTAGGATGAGCCTGTGTCAACCTGATTCCCGCAATGCCTCGAATTCCAGAGGTAATATACTGATGCGCACTTTGAAGACATCTGCACCACATCAGACTACATCAACTTCGACCCAAGGGACCTTCATAAACCTGTTAAATTGATAGTCATCTTTCTCTCCATCAAAGTTCGAGTGTATGACGCGAAGTACTGCGATCCTGCCTTGACACGCCGTCGACAGGATATTTCAGTGATCCCAAAAGCTACATGATGTCTAGAGATCTGACCCACGTTATGCAGATGGTGTCGCCTCTAAGGCTATATGTCTCTACCAAATCAGATAAAAAAACGCAGCTCAACTCGGGTTCGAAATCAAGGCCTCTAATTTTTTTTTACAAAACTGAAGCACTGTTTACCTTAAGAAACAAGGATAACGAAATGGCACGTATTCAAAAATTTCAGCGTTCACATTCTACCCAAAAGTCAAATAAATGACAACAAGGGAATAAACATCGATGACACGAAAACCCTTAGTACCATTATTCGGAGATTGGCTTGAAAGCAAATATCCAGTTTTACAAGGCTCCTCTGCATCCTGGATGACTCTCAGGATGCGAGACCAGGCAACTAGAGTGCGAGGATGTGCTGAAAATGGAAGCAACCGAACATGTCCGCCCAAGGATCATACCAAAGGCAAGATGGAAAGACCGGATCCGGTCCAATAACTTGACGAAACTGGTCGCTCACAACCACCATCGTAGGATGTAATGGTTTGGGCACACTCCGAACTTGTAGTAGTAAAAGGCCCCAAATCCAGGTTCACATTGGGACGAGGATGACTACCATCCGTCTGTTGTCCAAGCAGATGTTGATCAGCTTGGTTCCATGGAAACTCAACAGTAGAGGTGCACCTATAAGTGCAACGGTGTTTTGAGACTGAACTTAACGCATCATGACATGCGTCGGATGAACTGTGCTGTCCTACTTGACCGTCGAAATATCCAGCTACTAAGATAATGTATGGATTCCTTATGGTGAACAAAAGGGTGGCCAGTTATCGATAAAAGCACACGAATCATAAACAAAGTAAGGTTGGCATTTCGAGCAGAACCAATTCTTAAGGAAGTGAATGGTTGTAGAGCAGAGTATTCAATCGAGTAAGGAACCCTAAGCTGACAGCAATATCAACACCAGCGGAACCTATTGCACTGACTGCAGTATGGTCTGAAGTTCGCTATAGAGATCGAAGGCGCTATAAGCTCGGTTACTGCATCTGCATAACAGGTTCGACAAAATAGCGACACGTATCAAAATACGGGTAGGTCGGGTGCGTTCATTTGTGGTTGATTAGGTGACCGTTGATGGGTTCGCCGAGCTTGGCAATTAGCTTGCAAACATTTGATCAACAAACGGGGTAACATCAGTAGCGCGCGGCTGGGTAGCCGATCATAGCAGCAAATATGAGCTACTCTTTGAAACCTAAGTAAACTCAGGCAGGAAAGGATCAATTACTCATCCAACCGTGCACTGATGACGTCACTTCCACGAAACGTTTACAAGCTAACTGCCAAGCTCGGCGAACAGATCACCGGCCACCAACAGTGTGAAAGCTGTTTGCTGGCCGAGTTGCTTTACAGCTTGTACTTTAAAGGCTTCTGTAAAAATGAACAAAGCGCGAAGCATCACGTGTGAGTGCAGCGTGAGTGTGCAACTGGGCACTGACTGAGACTCAGAGAAGTGAGTAGTAAGCAGGACAGGAGAGGAGTTAAGATTCAGCAACGAAGAATACAGACGCCGGTAGTTTTCACTTTTTGCACCAGCTGCATACGGCTAGTGTCACCATGCAACGACCGACGTGATATATCTTATGACGGTACTTCAGCTAGATTACTCCAAGAATGCCGAGATTAGGGTCTTCAATCAAAGCTTGAACGGAAGACAACGATTAGCGTAAGGGCGCCAGAGTAGTGAGTGAACTTTAGTGAGAGAGTTACCGCGTTTATTCAAGCCCCGACCCGGATCATGTGAACTATGTTAATCAGACCTTTATGAAATTTCTAACCTGGTAGGAGTTTTGTGAATGTTCTATGCACATCCGCTAGCGCAGCTCGGAGGTACTCGAACTGTCGAACCAGTCTCTTTGGGACGGAAGAACGTTCACATGTGAACGACTGTGTCCGTATCTAATGCACTGAAACTGTTCAGTAGCCAAGGTGCTCCGCCACGGAAGAGATAGGAACGTTGTGGGGCGGTGATGATGATGAAAACGTCACCGACAGTGGTGTTTTGCCCAATGAAAAGCCATCAAGTGAACTTGTTTGAGTTGCGTGCATCAAAGCCGGAGCACAGAGAGAAGTGAGGCTGCACCCACTCACGGAGAGGAAAGACGTACATTTTGCCTGTGCTACAAGTTCGGCACTTTCATGGTTATATTGGCTGATTGATTGGTTTACTGTACTGAAACCGCTGACACGACAAATGGTCGATCGTGTTAGCATCAATGTAGTTCAAAGTTCTCACTTACCATGGTGGACCAAAAAAGCAGACCGTTAGGTAAACATGAAAGAGACCTAAACAAGCCTGTCAGTTGGTGAATACGAGGTGTGCGTAAAATAAAGAAGTACTCCTCCATCACCTTTGAACGAAAGGATGTCTGACGAGCCCGAGACGAGCTCAACGTAATGCTGATGTTTCTGATAACTTGGGAAGTATTTGGACGGTTTTGGTTATTCGCCTTCTAGAACCTGGGTAGGGTTTTTTTAACTGATTCTACCTAAAGTATCTGTAAAGAGTGATTATAATAATGAGAGAGAATAAGTTAGCCGGGAGAATATGAAACCAGGTGGACGCAAAGTGACATATTCCCAACCCAGTCTGTGCTAGAATACATGCTGCTCTCCCTGGCTGACGACCCGGGTTAGCACCCAGGACATCCGGTTGAGCGCTAAGAGATCCCGACACCTCAAAATGCATGAGATAGTCTAGCACAAGTCTCTCCACCTTTTTCTCATTGTTCTGATTCAGCATACACCGAGCTTCGTCTGGATGATCGCACAGCAGTGACGTGCTGTTGTTACTCACCATTGGCAGCAGCGTCGTCATCACTGAAAAATTCAAGTCCGGAAACGCAACAATGGTGTCCACGATCGGGAACAACGTGGACTGATACCTCCTCACTAATTAGGGAAACGCAAGTTGGAGACACCGTTTCACAGTTCACGTTTCTGTGCTATTTTGAGGTTTATTTATGCATCTGAATGTGGGTCTTAACGCGGTGCACCAGTTACGATTCGGCGACTTTCCATTTTATCAGTTTTGTCACCAGTCTGTTGCACTCGCTCCTCTCTGATGTGCCTTCGCAGATGTAATGAGGCGACATCAGGCGCCCGGAACAGCTCACATTCACCCGACCTGAATAGAGAAGTAACTGAAGAGCTCAAATAGGACGAATTACTAATGACATACGGAAACGTTGTTCCTTGAGGCAAGGATGCCAAGCTGTGTTGCCTCGCAGACTTGAGCCTTTCGACCCGGGACTACCGGGCCGATACCTGTCTATGCACTACCATCCATGTAATACGACGTTTACTACGAAAATTATTTGCCATCTAAAAAGAACCCACTGACTCACCATGACCATTATGGTCAAGAAGGCACAATGACTCAGTAGGAGAACTTAACTGCCGTACAGGAATAGACTTCCTCTTATACAGCAGAAGAGGCGGGGAAAGTGGGAACCTACAGCATTCACATAGAACACGAGAACCGGCACAAAATAGGGGAATTTAGCACGAAGTGAAAAAGTGCAAGACCTCCGGCGGAACCGGCGACACACCACATCCTGTGCGGATTCTAGTCACGTCGAGAGAGTCAGGTAGACCATAGTCACAATTAAATAGCGTTTACCCAATACGAACTGATGTATCCTAGTAAGGGATGCAGAGTAAACATCTACCGCCAGTCAATACTACAACGACCCTTGAGATAGGATCTCGATGAGGATCTTGACGAATTTGTTAATTTCTGATAAGACGAGTGAGTGGCGTCCGGACCGGATATGCCACTGAAAACCTTCACATAAGTAGACAATCACGGGCCGTTCCTAGAGTTGAAGGTAGCGTATGTAAAGCCTGAATGGCGACCTAGAACTGAGAGAATAAGATCGGCGGGCGAACACGCGGAAGCCTGTTGCTAACCAACAGTCAGCCCAGCCATGGTTGCACACCAACGAACATCAGCATCAGTTGCCTTGGGACACCGGCGTCATTCAGTAAATCCTTTGTTTCTGTTTCGGGCGCATTTGGGATGATACATCAGGGTATCATTGTGGTGGTCGCGGATAACCTGGCAGTTTCCACCAACCACAGCTAGTGACATTGTCGTCTGCGGGGTGAAAACATATCAGACAGAGACCAACAAATCCATACACAAAAGACCCCATCCAAAAACCAAAACTTATAAAAAGCCGTATGAAATGATAGAGTGGCGACTCTCTGGAACAGAATCGTCTAGGAAACTCACCCAACGACGCATCAGCTGAGGCAAATCTGGGACAGAATCGAAACCGGTCCGTTGTTTGGCCACAGGACGGTCAGTAGTACACGTTGTGTTGCCCGAGATAGCTGATGAAACTTGCGTGTTAGTATTTGCCTGTTCGGCCGCCAGACTTGAAGGGTTATGGTCAATGGCCATCACCGAACGTGTACGACCAAACACAGGGTGTTTGTTTGAAGGACTAAAAACAGAACTTAACACGGACGTGGGGCCGTTGAGTTGGTTTGAAACCGCAGTAGTGTTAGGTTTGGCAGACGAAAACCCGTTGTATGGTTGGTGTTGGTAGGACGAAGATTTTGAAAAGTCCATCGAGTGACGTCTCTTCATGCTGTCAATAAACGATGACTGAGACCGTACCAAGTTTGCCACCTCCTCCGAGGAAGGTGCAACAATCGAATGCAAACAATCGTTAATCCGATTCACTTGTGTAGGGTGTGACGTGGTTGTCGGTAGAGAGCGTATAAGCAGTGATGACCGCTTAGAGTATTCTGCGCAGTTCTTCGTGTTTGTAGGTGGTCGCACTACTGGGCTTCGGGTGGACACTGAAATAAAATATCGGGTAGGGAATTAGAAGATCCTATGAACGATGGTTACAGTGCACAGATTTCGACAATAAGTACCGGTGAGTGCGCGAGACATCGTAGCAGTTATCCAGTTGCCCGCTAGGAAGAAAATATTAATCCTATCTAGGGATGAAACTGCTCTAAAATCATACCACACGCACGTAAGTATGAAATACTGATAACGGGTTCCATACTTCATCGTTTTTGTTCTAGTTTTTTGGAGCCTACCAAGTTATAAAACTATTTCTGCACACATTGAAAAAAGTTCCACACAACAACGCCCCCAGAGTGATCGCTGTTGATCAACTTCGTCTGACAAGTTAGACGGCACGTAATGCCTGAAAATCCCAGACAGATAAATGGATTAACACTGGTAAGAGAACCACCGCAACGCCGTGCATGGATAAAATATCGCCCCATCCATGAGAACGCGTCCGAAGAATGTATGTCCGCCAATCAGTGAAAGAACTCATTACGGAACAACGGTTGGGGCGCGTCTCGTGGAGGGTGCAGTTAAAAAAATAATAACCTGTTCGTCTAACTTTCCGACTGTATACTACTCGCTTATGAAAACTACAGCACTGTTACCTAAATGTAGTCAGTAAGTGGTATAAGTTAGGTATAAGTCGGGTCACGCTGAGATAGAAGACGAGTGGAATTTGAAGACTGGTCATGTCCTGTTTTTGATCGCTGTTCTGCTCGTTGGGTTGGGTAGTTTGATTGAGAGCGTTTCGACACCAGCCGAGGTGGCGTCATCAGTGCGCATTACGTTGGCGTCAGCATATAGGCGTTGAACAGGCTGGGCTTATTTACTTACGTCTCGCTGACTCCAGAGGAGTGGCCTCTGATCGTGATTGACCAGCTGGGAAGGAGGTCGCGTTTTTTGGATGATTGACCACCACTGACATGTCACGTTGAACATCACCACCCGTGTCGATAAGTCAAAGATCATGTGGAGTGGGTCGAGGAGGTCAGACACAAAGGCTATCCGGACGCGGACCAATAGGTAAGTTAGTCAACAATACAACAAACGGGACGGACTATCTAAACGATCAATCACATTCAGAGGCCACCTCCTTCCTCCGCGCCAAAGAGGTACATAAGGGCACAAGCACAGCACTGCTTCACGCACACACACTGATGCATCGCCAGTTTACCGAGCACTGATGTCGTCTCAGTTGGTGGTGGAACGTTTGCAACCAAACTGCCCAACTCAACGAACAGAACGATGACCATCCATAGAACCTGAGCCATCAACATTTCATTTGATAGCAAAAGTTCCCTGTCTTTACAGCTCGAACTTTCATATCTAAATTCGACAGGTTTGGGGCTTACCACATCCCCCCATGAGGATCACGAAAAAGGTTATCAACAACTCATTGTCCGACGAACAAACTGAATTGGCTGAAAATACTTTAATTGACAACGAGACTTTAACTCCGAGGCACCGTGGGTACTGGTATACGTTGACAAAGCCCCTGGATTGTGTTGACTTTTTCGTCGGAGTTGGTATTCCACCGACAGAATTTGTACTACCACTCTTTACAATGTCCTGGATGCGAGAATTGGTTCCTATTTACAGTTGAGTTGTGTGGTACAACGATCACCAGTACAAATGTTCCGGTGGGTTGTGATTTTAGCATAAAAGGTTCACGCAGTGGCAGTCGCAACTTCTAGGGCTAATTTGTCCCCACGTCAACTACACGATGACCAGATACAGTGTTTATCTCCCGAATTTAGGTGAACATGACTGTTATACAGGATTACAGTAGATCAACCCATAAGCTCACCCTGTGGGAGACCACTCAGGATAAGACGATTTCGGTGGGGTACGCTAGTCTTACGTTGAAACTGACATGTGACGGATTATCCCCGATTTCCAAACAAACGTCTTCTTAGGAAGCAATCCTCCTTCCAATTAAGTCCAGGAAGTGAAGCTCTCATAAAGACTGTCACAAGAACCCATTTTAATTGCTCTCTTCTGGGACATAGTTTACAATAGAATTCTCCCCTGCTAAGGACCACTCATCGTTGCTTCCTTCGAGTGGTCCCGTGGTAGGGATAAAATTCTCCTGTAATACGTTTCAAGGAGCCACCAAAGGGTGGGCTACCCAGAAGAATGACAGCTGCTCTTCGAAAGAATGCACCACCTCCTAGAGTGATTGATATTTGGAAACGAGACACGAAATCAGGGGATTGAGTCGACCCTAAGAGGACATCAGCAATGACAGCGTATTGATGCGGAACTAACTGTGCTACATTTGAAGACTAAACCACTGAGTAAGCGAGTACATGGTAAACGATCATAACGAATTGAGGTAAGCTAGGCGGCGAGCTACTAATCGGATGGTCCGTGGTCAGTACTCGCTCCTGTAACTACTTGTGCTACAGTTTCAGCAACCTACCAAAAATTGTAAGTAGCTCAGAGAAAAGAAAAGTTCACCCGAAGAGTGAACTTTCCATCTGAGAAGTCATCATTCGAGGAGCCAGTCAACACGTGACTACGTGATGTAGATCCCGTGACTGAAGGATGAGTAGCACTACATCTTGTCCAAGTGTGACTTAATCCCATTGCTGAGCAGCGCGTTGTGACCGGACGCTTTATTGGCTCAACAGCCAGCCAGTAGATCGCGGGTTCGAAACTCCTTGCAGTTACGTGAGATTAGCAATGATTACCAATAAGGATGAAATAGCTGTACAGTGCTTCTCGGTCCTCCTGGCAGTATGGAATCTCAACTGAAAATTCCCGGGTCTTCTCACATTACCAGCAAAGTGGTAGTACCCTAGTCCCCAGGCTTCTCTCGGGCAGCATAGCAACTAAGTGCTGAGATCTCACAACTGAAGGCCTTGTTTTTATAACTCCTGACAGAATCAGCATCACTACGGCAACACCCAAAGCCCATCAGGTAAACCTAATTAAAACCACAAAATGGTGCTCTGCACTACAAGGCTGTGTTGGCGAAAGGTTCGTAAGTGGACGAACCGTGAAAAGGCAGTGCAAGGTGAACATGGCTGTCTGAAGTTAACTTGCACGAGGTCGGGAATACACGACTAATCTGTGGCAAATGTTGTCACATCGCAGCCGAAGGGTGCGGTCACAGTTGTTGGTTTTTGTACCCCGGACGTATTGGATGAGATTCGCCAAGACGCTGGATAAAACTCGCTTGAATGGTTTCCTAGGCGACACGATTCGCAGATTTCAGTGCTGTTCAAAAGTGCAGATACCCTGTTCTTGACCGTCTTCATCGGAGATATGGGGTATTTTTTACACTGGATCTCTGCTATCTCCTCTTTACATTATACGGAACAATGTAACAATGTAACAATGCTGCCCATGAAGGGATGTTTGCAACATGAGGGGCAGAAGACGTTCTCCTGGCTTATTGCAATCAATCCCCACCACACGTGTATATTCGTAATGCACTCTACTCATATGGTTGTCGAAAATTCTTGACTGGAAACATCACAAACGAGAGATTCAGCTGGGTTCCAGGTGAGTCACTCGCAAAACCAAAATTTGTTTGCAAATGAATGTATTTCGCTAACTCCCATACGTATTTGTCGTGAATGCTATCCACAAGGTCAGTGTTCGCTTCTCAAATTGTGAGGAAAACATTTTTATTGACGACACGGTATAGTAACGGGCGATTGACGCAACACTATATCGAGAAAGAAAATCGATAAACTGTCACGTGAAACGAGATACGGGCCGGTTACACAAGCGGCGCACACAAGAGCTGTAGGGCGCGTGACATGGTTTGGCGCACGAATAGACGTACGCTCGTTCGCGCATGCCGGCGCTGCCGTGATCTGAAACGACGTGATTGGTGCGATTCCGGCACGTGCACACGTAATCTGGCCACAGTGCACGCTCAAGAATGCCCTTGACGCACGTACAATGTGTGACTGACGGGCTAGAAAGTGAACACACTAAAAGTGGGGTGGGGGTGGGGTGGGCGTACAGGTGCAACGGTATGTACAGTTAAAGATGACCTTTGCTATCAACATAAAAAACAATACGCGGCCAGAACATATGAGTTTCACCGACAGCAGCGGGAGCAGTGAATTGCTCTTACGTGAGGGACATCGGGTAGCCTATGTTCAACATCGGTGTTCCAGAGATTTTTCGATACGATGGACTGGTAGTGATGAGTATAACGGAAAGGAGAGCACTTTTCTGGTGATTTGATCCCCAGAATTTATGTAAAGATCGCCCTACTTATTCCAGGAAGCAAATCAGCTGCAACCCTTGCCCGTCAATGTGTTTGTTGAGGTGGGCAGTTGTGTTGGAAACCTTTGACCATCGGTCTATATGAGGTCAACTTACCCAGACATAAGTTACAGATAGAGGATGATAACATCAATCTGACCCAAGTTCAAGCGCAGTTGTCGAGTCTCATCAATCGCACCTTGACTTAGTCGTTATGATGCGCCTTCATAGCTCAGCTACTGTTGAAATCCACTTTATCAATCTTATTACAAAGTTCCTTCCTCCCATATGGAGAAAATCGTAACGGATCAGCAGAAACGTGGGTGGGCTCGAGATAAAGCGCGAACCTACCGATCCGATATCTCTCACCTAGGTATGGGGAACCTGACAGTATTTCAGCCCTCGCTCTTCCTTCGGATGGCATGGCAGCTAAGCAACGAAAGGGTGTTACAGTTGGGCGACTATTATTGTCATTATTTTGGAGGCGTCGCTTATTGGTGGTAACTAAAAACCGTACACGGTACGTGAGAAGTTCATCCTCTTAGCGCAATGGTTAAAAAAATCGTTCAGCTGTAGCACCCTTTCGGTGCATAACTGCCATGCCACCCGAAGGTTGCACGAGGGCTTGAATATTGCCAGGTTGCCCAAGCCTATACAGGGGGAGTCGAGAGGCAGAGGTCGGGCTCGAACCACGGACCTTCTGTTCAGTAAATTCGCACTATAACAACCTGGGTTGTCTCGACATCGGAGAGACTAGTAAGAAGACAAATTGAAACCTGTTGAAATGGGGTTTTTAGGATTGCATTTGTATTATCGTAGGAATTTAGGTGATACTTGGACAGGCTGTCCCACTATTTCACTTC